AGAGAGAGAGAGAGAGAGAGAGAGAGAGAGAGAGAGAGAGAGAGAGAGAGAGAGAGAGAGAAAAGGAAAGAAAAAGGACGGATTGTTTCCTGGTGACTTATTTTATAAATCATTGCCTGTATAAAATCTAACATTAAGCTAAGAAGGAGTAGAAATTTTTTTTGCTATTTTGTAATTGTCAGAGCTTCTGAGAAGTCTATTTTTCACTGGGCAGTGGTGGTACATCCTTTAATCCCAGGGCTCAGGAGGCAGAGGCAGGCAGATCTCTGAGTTTGAGGCCAGCCTGGTCTATACAACAAGTTCCAAGACAGCCAGGACTACACAGAGAAACTCTGTCTCTTCGTCATCGTTCTCAGGGCAGCCAGACGGTGAGAGGAGAAAAGAACTACAGCACGAGGAGGCTCTGGTTTCCCGGCGGGAAAGACAGAGGTGGCCAACCCCTCACTCCATGGCTTCCGGGTTGCCAAGCCTCACCCTGGGGGCCTGTTTCTAGGTGTTTCTGAGAACACGCTGATTGGGCAACAGTTAAAGTTCAACTTAATCTCCACTGTATCTCCTCCAAAAGGGGGAACTCAATCCACTGATGCCTTCCCTTTGCTCTGGTAACCAAAGCTTGTCTTGGAACAGATCCTGCGGCAGCACCTAGATGGACAGAGGGCCTGAAATGAGCACATGGCTAAGTCTCTCCCCTTGGATGTTCCTGACTCGATGCCTGTCTTCATCCGTGGACACTCAGACCTCTGCCCGACTCTGCTCCATTCCCCCGGGGACTCTTCTGGCCATGGAAGGACTAACACCGAGGTAGTATTGCAGAAGTGTTTCTGTTCTTGTGCCCCTCAGTAGAAAATATTAGATTTCCCTATAAACTGCATTGGCTTTCTAAAGTGATGACCTAAGCCAAGAAAATACCATTGAGGGCACTGATGGGGTTTTAAGAGGGCACTGATGGGGTATTTAAGAGGGTAGTGATGGGGCATTTAAGAGATAGCAGCAAGAGAGAGTCTTCCGTTAGCACAGAGTGAATGCCAACTATGAGAAAGAGCTGAATGTTAAAGAGAAAGAGATGATCAAAGCTGTAATAAAGCAGTACCAGATAATAAAGCCACCATCTGTTGTAAGCCCATGTGCCTAAGCTTCCCCCGGTCGCTAAGTAGCTTGACACAAGTTCAGATACAGTCAAGACTTTCTGTGTTTGGAAATTTGCACCTAAGTGGCTCCAGAATCATCACAGCCACCTGTTGCGCCCCAGGGACCCTGGAGCCTGAGAGGCGCTGATGTCTCACAGGTTCCTGCAGCTGTCCTTACAGCAGGCTCAGGCCAAGGCTCCCCCGAGTTCTACATAACATGAGAAAGAGCAGATCTTCCTGAAGGCTCATCGGGAAGGCTGGAGGATTAGCCCGAGTGCACTGGCAGGGCCCGGACTTGCCCACAGCAGCGCTGGAGCAGCTCCACAGAGACCTTTCAGAGTAGCTGCACCACACGGCGACAGGCAGCACAAACCCCAGCCCACTGACACACCCGGCTCCAGACTCTTCTTAGATTCCTTAAAACGGTATTTGCTGGGCTTGGGGCAGGCCTGTGATCCCAGCACTCAGGAGGCTGAGGCAGGAGAAGAGGGAACTCAAGCTAGCCTAGGCTACACAGACTGTTTTCCAAACACAAAACAAAAAAGCAGCGCCATTTACAAATATTAGTAATGTTAACTGCATAGCCAAAATAATAGTTTATGACCCAGGCAGTGGTGGCATACACCTTTAATGGTACACACAGAGAAACCCTGTCTTGAAAATCAAAAAAAGAAGAAAGAAAGAAGGAAGGAAGGAAGGAAGGAAGGGAAGGAGGGAGGGAGGGAGGGAGGGAG